ACATCTTTCTTAGCCCTTACCACCTTGATTTGAAATAATCTATGAATATACTGGCCTCTTTTCTTAGGGATTTTGTTTGTTTGTTTGTTGCATTAGGGACTGAACCCAGAGGCACTGCACCATGGAGCCACATCTAGCCCTTTTTATCTTCTGTTTTAAGTTAAGGTCTTGCTAAGTTGCTTAAGGCCTCACAAAATTGTTGTGGCTGACCTTGAACTTGAAATCCTCCTGACCTGAACTTGAAATCCTCAGCCTCTTGAACCTCTGGGATTACAGGCATAAGCCAATCTGCCCAGCTTCTCTTACATTTTAATATTACAGGGAGCTTATTCAGTCTCAAAGGAATGTGAGTGTGAATATGTTGCTTAAAGCCTCATACAATGTCAGTTACATATATATATATATATATATATATATATATATATATATATATCTGTTCTCTTCCAATGTCAGATTGGCATTTCAACCACTAAATCCTCTTCTTTCAAACCACCTTATACAAAGTGTATGGTTGAAGAAGTTCCAGTACAATTTAAAAAGCAATATTCCCATTAATTTTTCTAGCTGAACTGTTTAATGCGTCTGTAATTCAGCATTTCCTATTTTTGTGTAGCAGGGAGTCAGGCTCTGAGAGATGGCATTAAGTAAAGATTCTATATGGGAAACATACTACTCAGTCTAGCAGGATAGCAAGCAGAGAGGTTTAGCACAAAGGTGCTGGAGGCAAACTGCTGGCATAGGAGTGTAACTATTTTACCTCACTTCAGTTTGCTTCCATTTTCCTCCAAAATGGGACTAATAGCAGTGTTTCTCCCATAGGGCTGTTATCAGGATTTCATGAGCAATCTGCTGAAGGTTTAGTCCTGGTAGAACACTTGTTAAGTGTTAAGAAAAAACTTACTGATTACAGTTATTCCAGCAAAATTAACTAGTTCTCTTACTTGGCTTGGCTTGGCTTGCTTCTGATAGGACTGCTGAGGGTCTTTCATGTTCTGATGAGCCCGTGAATATCTACAGAAGCCATATTTCACAAGTCTACTCTGTAGGAGACCACTAGCATGTCCTAAAGTAGTGTGCCTCAGAATATAGTTTGCAAACTTCTCTTGTAATAAATTTAAAGGGATATATAATTCAGGGATATTCCTGAACTAAAACTAAGACAGTAATTTGATAGGCATAAGTTTTGGGCATTGGAATATCATATTTGAAATGAGGATTGTTTTAGAAATCATATAAAGAAATAAAAAAACTAAGACTTATGTTGTATTACATTTAGAATCTTTTTAAAAAATGAAATACAAATGAAACAATGTCAATTGAGAATTGCAAATATTGCTCAAAAACAGGAGGCTTTATGGATTTCCTTTCCTGATTTCTTGAAAAGTTATTGCCTGTTAAAGATGAAGGAACAGACTTCCTTATTCAAAAATGTGTGCTGTTTATCTTAATTTTGGCATACCTGATAAGAACTTCCTCTAGAGCCAGGAAACTTTGCAAGTATTAAATATTCTGAAAGGAGGAGGTGAAGGAGGAAGTAACTGACCCAAGAGAAAAAGAGGAACAGGTTCTAAACCAGAAGCACATTTGAAGCTCAGCCAGAACAAGGGAGAGCCTAGCACACCAATCCTGAGGTAAGGAAGAACCTGTCTAAGGTGTTTGGATAGTGAAAAATGATGAGAAACAGGTTCACTTGAAACCCAGCAATGACTTTTTATCTTATCCAACACTGTTTTTAGAAAAAAAAAATGCTTCAGGTGGCCATAGGGGGAAACAAGATTACCTGCTGGGAGTGATGCTGATGTTTCTTTACATGCGTATATGCTCATAGATCTGTGCCTGGAGTGTTTTTCTGTGTTTGCCTTGCTTCCCAACAAATGGGGCAGTATCTGGCCCATTAAATTCCAGTTTATCAACAATTTGTGACTTTTAAGACAAATGGATAATTATTAGGCAATCTGTTGAAACTGCTTTCCAAAATGAAAAGTCTTCTTTGAGCAGGATAAAATTAAAGAGATGTGGATGTTGTTACATTTGAAAGGCTCTTGTTTGAAACATGTTTTTCATTATAGGTCTGGGTTTATGTCTCTCTGAGTTTTTCCCTATGAAGTTATTTTGAAGAAAGGGAAAAGCTCCCCCCCCACCCCCCGTAAAAAATCTCCTTGCCTTTATCTCAATGAACACCTTGATATTAGGAATGTACTGGAATGTATGCTCTGCATAGAACAGCACAGATGATAAACATAAATCTCCTCTTTGAAATTGAAAGGTCAATTTATTACCTTATCTTTGGCTGCCAGCAGGACATTAGTTTGCTATCCCAACCCCTGACTCTATTTCTGTGGTAGGCCTTTACCTCTTTAAACGCTTGTTAATTCTGATCAATATTTGAAATTTGTTTTGTAAATTTATGTTAAATAGTATGGCAAATAATTGCTTAAATAAATAATCATTTAAACCACAGAATATCTTAAGATAAGTTCTCATCAATTTTGCAAAGGAAAAGGGATCCTAATGGTAAAAGACATTTCACAAACTTTTACCCTGAACACAAACCTGGTGTCCAGCATCATAAAGGAGGAATCCTTACATGGTGATCATATATTCTTAATCCCAATGTACTCCCCAGAATTTCAAGGATATCAAAAGGTATCCAGGGGTGGGGTTATGGCTCAGTGATAGAGCACTTGCATGAAGCACTGGGTTCAATCCCCAGCAGCACATAAAATAAAATATAATAAAGGTACTGTGTCCATGAACAACTATTTAAAAAAAATAAAGGTATCTAGCCCTGGGGTTTTGGTGCAGTATTTTATTAAATAAATTTTATACATTAATTATGTGTCATATTCAATTTGGTTATAGGAAATATCATATGGAAGGTTTGCACATTGGCATATTCTAATCTGGAAATCAGAGCTAATCAAGAGCTAATCAAGCTATTCAAAAACAGTGATCAATGCAATTGATAACCATTTACATATATTTGCTAAGTGTAATATTTGGAAGAAAATTTTATTTGACTCCTGATTTAGTCACTACTTAGTTGTTAATGAAATTGCTTAACATTTTTAATCATTTGTTTTATGATATGTAAAATGAGGATAACAATAGTAACCACTTCAAATGGCAGCTGTAGAATTAAATGATATAGTCTATATAAAATTATTTATAGGCTGATTCAAAATATGCTACTAATTAAATATGAGTGATGAGGAGATTCAATAAATTATGATGAATACCCCAACAAGGACTGTTAGAAATATTATGTGCAGGGGCTGGGGATGTGCAGGGGCTGGCATGCGTGCGGCCCGGGTTCGATCCTCAGCACCACAAACCAACAAAGATGTTGTGTCTGCCGAGAACTAAAAAATAAATATTAAAAAAAATTCTCTCTCTCCTCTCTCTCTCCTCTCTCACTCCCTCTTTAAAAAAAAAGAAATATTATGTGCAGCTATTTCTATGTCTAGTCTGAAAATATATAATAATAATATTTTCTTGATAAAATCATAATAGAATATTCAGCCTAGCTGAATGCTTCCTGTTTCTCTTCTTTGATATTTTAAAGCATCAGCAGAAAAAATTCTATATTTATCTTACTTGAATGAAAGTAACTCATTGAAAGGTATAAGAAAATTGATGATAAGATGGTTTGCAAAAGCTGGGTGCAGTTTCATAGGCCTGTAAGCCTAGAGGCTGAGGCAGGAGGATCACAAGTTTGGGGTCAGCCTCGGAAATTTAGCAAGACCCTATTTCAAAATAAAATAAATAAATACATTTTAAAAGGGCTAGGACATAGCTCAATTGTAGTGTACTTGTTTAACATGTATAAGTTCCTAAGTTTGATTCCTCATACTACAAAATAAAAGGTTTTACTTCAAAGATCTCTTTTCATATTTAAGTATAAACTATATATCTTTTAGAAGACATATCTTGAGTCTTAAGCAATTAACCAACTAGATCCTAAATTTTCTAGTCATTTTTCGTATTTAATTCTTCATTCATTAAATAGATTGAGCCAGGTATGGTGGAGCACACCTGTAATCCCAGCAATTTGGGAGGCTGAGGCAGGAGGATAACAAGTTCAAGACCAGGCTTAGCAACATAGCAAGACCCTGAGCAATTTAATGAAACCCGTCTCAAAATAAAAAAGGGCTAGGGATGTGGCTCTATAGTTAAGCACCCCTGGATCCAATCCCCAGTACTCAAAATAAAAATAAATAAAATAAATAATAAAATAAAAAGGGCTGGGTACTTAGCACAGTGGTAAAGCACCCCTGGGTTCAATTCCTAGTTCCATAAAAAATTAAAATAAATAAATAAATAGATTGAATGCTGTGTGTGTGTATGTGTGTGTGTGTGTGTGCGCGCGTGTGTGCTTTGGGTTATATGTCTTATGAGCTATCTTATAAGTATAAAAAAATCAATAAAAGATTAGAAATAATTTTAAACATCATCAATAATAAATTTACTGAATTAGAGAGAAAAGAAAAGAAAAGAAAAAATGAGCTGATCCCTACTCACCCTTAATGAAGTAGAAAGACACATAATTGTCTGTCATTTAGGTTATCTTGTTTCAACAGATTATTGACTCCTTAATGTGGGATCTCAGTGAAAAGAACGAATCAGGAAAGACAGTCCCTGCCCACTTGAAAGAGGGATGAGCAGGCTTCGTAGAGAAGGTAGAGATGATGGGAACGATCACACACATCCTCTTGTCCCGTTATACTACTGCAGGTGAAACGTTGTCTTTCACTTGAAAGTCATTATCTTGATCATTAAAAATCATGTTGAAGACTGGGTGGTTAAGCCACTCAGGCTTGGGCAAGGATGGGTTCTTCAAACCTTCTCTCCCCCGACGATAGCTACTGGTATAGTCTATATTGCAACCAGGAACACACTACATGCTGGTGGTAATGTATTGGTAGATGTTATAGAGTTTTGATTATGCTACATGCTAACTATGCAATTAATGCATTTTTTAAAATTTACAACAGGTTTCTGGATGGCAGATAATATAACCTTCGTTTACTTGAGTTTTCTACTGTGCTGTTATCTTCCACTCACTTCTGCTTCATTTTGTGATCCACTGATAGAAAAGAAAGTGGAGTGGATTAAAATCCCCCCTGATACAGTCCAATTGTATATTAATGACTGTAATGTGAAGAGCATCCAATACACAGAAAGCCATCTTTCAAAACTAAGTCTACTCAATATCACCTCTAGGTGCATCAGGAATCTGCCAGCTAATGTTCTCTCGGATCTGGAAAAAAAATGCCTAAGAAAGCTTCCAATCTCATTTTTGAACAGTACTAGTCTGTACGGAATTACATCTGTCTGTACCTGTGAGTTTATTACTGACATCCCCAAGCCCCTGAACAACACTGTTTGTGCAGAAATGTTGAAAAGCTGTGGAAACACATCGGTGGCCATTTCTGTAGGCATTTCCCTTTTAGTACTCTTGGTGGTCTGTGGGATTGGGTGTGTTTGGCACTGGAAACACCGAAACACCACCGGATTTACTTTACCGAAGTTTTTGCAAAGGAGAAACAGCAGGAAAAAAGACTTAGCAAAAACCTTCTGCTTGAGTCCTCACATTGTTGGCTCAAGGCCTAAAATCTCAGCTGAAACCCAAAGCCACAGACCGTCTGTCAGGGGAACTAGGATGCAGGCCAACTATGAAAATGTGGAAATGGGGCCTCCCAAAGCTAACAAAGAAACTGACAAGGGACTCTACGAAAACACTCAGCAGATCAATTTCAAAGAGCACATGTATGGAAGTGAGACATCCTGTGACTACTATAACTTCCAGAAACCTGCTGCCTCGGAAGCTCAAGATGAGGATATCTACATTCTTCCTGACTCCTATTAGCTTTTCAAAACTACTGAGTTTCATTGTTGGAGGATAAAATATGCACGGGGACTTGGATGGTGCTGATGCACTTATTGACCAAGTTCTTCTCATGAAATTCAGTGGTCTCTCTATGTCCACCCCATGGATCCTGTCTACGTGCATGATTGTAGATTCATTCTAAATAACCTCTCTTCCCTCTTCTCCTGGGATTAAATCTTTACCATGTATATTGATTTTTTCCTTCTAAATATCATCTGTTGTGTCTTTGCTTTGTTTCTACTTCCACCATCTTTTTCTGATTTAGGATTATTTTCACGGTCTCCTCCTGGGTCTTCCTGTCTCCACCCACTCAATCAATTGCACATGATGCTGCCAGATTTATCTACAGAAAATATTCCCACTGGCCGCATTACACCTTCGCTGAAAACCTCTTAATGCTGCTCTTTAAAAAAGACATAATGCTCATAATTCTAACTCCTGCATTCATAATTTTTAATGAAAAGTTTGTTCCCACTTACTTTTCCAACAACATCTCCTACTAACCCTAATTTCTCTGCATCCATCAGAATCATCTTAAAACCTGGCAAACTCATCTCCTCCATGGCTCTCTCTAGCCTGCCTCAGATTAGAACTTCTTCCACAAGTCTTCTGAGTAATCCCAAAGCTACATTTACCTTTTTATTTTCTAACATTCTACAGGTTTTTGCTTCCTGCTCTATTCTTTTGGTATTAAAACATGAATATGAATGGTGGATATGTTATTTTAGTACTTAAAGTCATATGAGAATATCTCAAATTCCCACTCAATAGAAGGGAACTGCTTCATGTTCATATTTTAGCCTCACAACCGTTATGTGAGTCCCTAATTATTTGTTCACTTGACAAGAATTGAATTGTACATTTTGCTAAGTAGTTTTGAAAAGAACCTAATAAATCTATTCATTATTCATCTATGGAAGGAATATTTATTGAGTATCTTCTATCTCCCTTTAATTGTACTATGCACAGGAGGATTCAGATGAGGGGTTGTTACAATGGTAAAAAGACGTGAATCTTGCACACTACTGTCTAGTAGGAAATAAAAAAATACAATGAACAAATAACTACATTCATTATGATGCTATTATATCTTGTTTCTAAGTCTAAGCTTTCATATGCTGCCATGAATTGCTTGACCTGGGACTCTGCAAACTACATTTATCTTTTGCCAGACGTATCCATATTAGGCTCTGCTGATGGGGGAGTGTGACAAGAAAGACTGGAAGCAATAGGAAGCAAGAGGAACTTGAACTTCTGGTCCCCCTTGCCATTATACCAGTTGCTGTTACACCAGCATCACCAGTTGCTTACAGTTTCTAGTTTCTTCTAATATTTTAGAACCAGCTTCAATGCACCTTGCTGGAGGTATAGCACCAGCTGGTCAGCAGCCTGCCTTAGAGTCAGATAACTAGCTCTCAGGCCTCCTGCAGGCTCCAGAGGTACCAGCAGGAGACAAGTGACACCTCAGTCTATTCTGAAAATGCCCAGTCCTGAGGGTGGTAATAACTTCTTTCTGCAGTTGCTAACTCTGCGGTACCTCAGTGTCCCCTTTTTGTTTATTGCACAAGTCCAGTACCTGTTTTTGCAAAATCTCTCTGAATTCTGTTAGAATAAACTGGTAAGCTTTCTCTTTCTCCAAGTAAACCTTGAATGATACAAACAAGAATAATAGTAAGTGCTTTGAATGAAAGAGGTATTCTATTTTGGAGAGCAATGCAGTAGAATAGAGAAAAGGATTTCAATTTTAATCAGGTGGTCAAAGGAAGCCTGTTAGGAAACACTTAAGGTGAGACTTAAGGGTGAAAAGAAGCTATCCATCTCCACGTGATGCACAGAGGTAAGTACGTGAGCAGCATGTAGTAAAAAAGAGCTTGGGGCGTGGAAAAATCTCTAGTGCTCTGGGACTTATAGAAAGCTATTGTGACTGCAGCTCTCTGGGGGAGGGTTGAAGTGGCACCTGATGGGTTAAAGGAATGAACAGCTTATCACATGACTTTCTGTAAGTCTTGGCACACAGCGAGTGTAGACTCTGTCATAGGAGTCTTGATATGGGGTTCAACTCTATAATAGGGGCAACTGGAGTATTAATGGGCTTTAAGCATAGCAATGGCATGAAAGCATTTGAATTTTTGAAGAGCTACTGGGCTGAGGAAGAACTGCAAAGGCAAAGTGAATGTGGGTAGGATTGTTAAGGAGCTTTTAGATTTCGCTTAGAAAGGAGCAGCTAGCTGCAGGGTGAATGAAGACATCGACAGTATTGCCTGCCCTCTTCTTCAGAGGAACCTCTGATCCCTAAGAATAATGGTTGATACTATGAAATGTATGACTTACTGACACTTATCCATCCTAGTTAATTATCCAAAATGTCTAATGACAAAATTTCAACAAACAGATTTAATTGAATTTTATTCACCATTAATTAATCTGGCAATATCCCATCTAAAGATTTAGACAAGCACTCACCTGGCATGGCATAGCTGTCCATTTTCATGAAGTAATTTGAGCAGGAATGAGGAAGAACCATGATAGGAAAAGGATTGGTTCACACCAGGATTCTTCAGGTTTCTTTCCATAGAAGGGTTAATGCAGAGGGGACTTTCACCTCATGCTGCCCAATAACTGCCTCTTTGGGGCTTTGGTTATCATGCCTCTCTGGATGTCTCAGAAGCCCAGATGAACATCTTAGTTTCAGCTCTGTGACGTGGAACTTTAGCATGGAACTTTACCAGTTTTATGTTTTTTCTGGGGGCTAGTTTTCTGGGGGCTAGTGCAGGAGCCATGTCCAAATATATGACCTCCCGTAATTTTATTTGACAATGGGTTGAGTGGATTATCTTTGAGTATTCTCTTTGACCAGAAGAGATGATAAAAATCTGTGTAAAAGAAGTATTTGCTCAATGATCCTTTGCCTAGTTTTTAATCTTGACTTGCTTTTAAAATTAATTGTAAGTTCTTTATCAAATTAAAACTTCTCCATTCTTATATCACTAGCAGTCCTTGAAATAGGGGCAGGACAAGGGAAATAGAGGACATTGTCATTCAGTGTTCTCAGTTAACCATAAGTGCCTTCCTTCATTCCTCCTCCTCTTTCCTATTCTTTCTTTCTCTATCATGTTCCCTCCCACCAATTCTCCTCTTCCTCCCATCTATCTTTCTCTGCCTCTTTCACTCCTTTTCGACTCTGTCACCTATTAGCATCCTTAATTACATTTCTCCACCTTAAAATCTTGAAAGTTGAATTTTTTTCCATTACAGATAAAGTTTATTAAAGACAGCAGTTTGTAGTTGTCTCATAATGTTAGTAAAAGTAGCCAGATGTGCCAAAATTAAAAAAGGAAGGATGCTGGGGTGAGGAAAGGAGACAGCAGCATCAAATCTACCAAATGTGATTTTGCTATGTGCTCACAGAAATGTAGGTGTGCTCACATCCTGTGACTTACGGCTAGTGTGTTAGAGTCTGTGGCCAATGTCCTGTGACAGTAAGTACATGGCTTCTTGACCTTACTTTCAGCCTGCCCTTGAAATTTTACTGCAGTCTGCCTTCTGCCTCACTTCCCAAACGATTATTGATCTCTACAGCAAATGGAACTGTGCTTATCCCATAGAAAGCTTTGCTTTCCAACGTCCCAGTTACTGCTCAAGCCAGGTAGAATGAGCGCAGGGATGAAGAGCACTCAGGCAGTGGGAAGGTTGAGACATTGAGCTCCTTGGAAGAGACATAAAAGAAAGAAGTCAAAAAGGAGAATATGATGCCTGCACACAGATGATTATGGACCGTGTTATGTTTGTGTCTCTCTGAAATAGTTATGCTAATACCGTATGTCCAATGTCATGGTACTTGGTGAGGGATAATTAGGTTTAAATGAGATCATGAGAATGGGCTCCTTCAGATAGAATTAGTGTTTCTGATAAGAAGAGAACATTTTAGATGTGCTCTCTCTCTCTCTCCCTCCCTTCAGCGTGTGAAGATATGAGTGCAAGTCAGCAAGCCAGGAAGAGGGCTTAGAACCAAGTCTACCAACACCTTGATCTTGAAATTCTTAGCTTCCCAAACTCTGAGAAATAAATGCTTGCTTTAACCATCTGTTCTATAGGATTTTGTTATAACAGAATGAAAAGTTACATCTATTTATTTATTTATTGGTACCAGGGATTGAATCTGGTGGTGCTTAACCACTGAGCCGGATCCCCAGCCCTATTTTATATTTTACTTAGAGACATGGTCTTGCTGAGTTGTTTAGGGCCTTGCTAATTTGCTGAGGCTGGCTTTGAACTCATGATCTTCCTCCCTCAGTCTTCTGAGCCACTGGGATTACAGAGGTGGACCACCACGCCCAGCCAAGCAGTTACTTTTAAAACTGTTATTCTAAGACATAACTATTTGGGTTAAATTTGAGTGGTGATGGTCCCCAGTAGCTAAATGCTAACCTTATGGGATCACCTTGTGGCACGTACTTATTTTCCCTCTTCTCTTAAGGTCATTTGAAGCATCCTTTTCTCTTGTACACCATCAGTGCAGTGGTTCCCTATGATCTAGCCTCAGTTCCCAGAAGTTTTTCCTGGGTACTCTGGACATTTTTACATAAACTTTCCTGCTTCAACGTCCTCTTGAATCACATGATATAGATAGCTCAGCACCTACTGCTTTATTCTACGTGGTGTCCTTCAGTCATTTGAAATTCAACATGAGCCAGACTAGTGAATTGAGATCTCACTCAGAAATAGATGTGGAAATAGATGGAATATAAGACTCAGAGATGAAGAGAAGGTTCCATTGCATAGGTTACTTGCTAATAATTTAAAAATCTGATAGCTTCAAAATATCATGGCATCAGAATACTATGTACAAAGAGGCTGTGTTTTCAATATCAGTGCCTGGTTCAAACAAATAAGATTTATCCTTGAGGTCCCCAGTCCCTGATTCCATGTAGTTCTACATCTGGAAAATTGTGTATCTCCTGCTTGGGCCTTCCTTTGAGTCATGATCTCTGAAACACAAGACTGTATATGTAGTAGCAAAAAGCTAAGGGCCTGTTAGGTGACTGGCTAGAGGACTTGACTGAAAACTACAGATGCAGAGCAGCAGATTAGTAGTCCCCTTATTTTACCTTATTTACACTTTTGTTTACTGCTTATTGTAAAATCTTGGAACAACTGTATTGCTTTGGACTTAAAAACTGATCTTTAACAGAATAAATTGTGTGGAATAGAGCCAGATCAGGGATTATAGAATTTGCCCACTTTGAGTGAATGGATATTCACTTATATTCCTCTGAAAGATAGGAAGATATAACTTGAATGAAATATATCCTGAATGAAAAGCATTTTCTGGTACTCCTGAAAAGGGATAGACAGGAGGTTATAGAACATCAAGATCAGGAATATAGCAAGTGGCTTTAATGACCAAATAGGATAAAGTGATTTTAGCATGCAACAAATATTTATCAAACGCCTATAACATATCAAGTACTGGGAGGGCTCAGAGAATTCAATAGTGGAGAAGGTCAGAGAAATAGACCTTGTATCAGTAGTCAGAGAGATCATGATCTACAGAGGGGTTCTGATACTTACAGATATAGTCCTGATACTTATAGAAACTACTAAAATGAATTCCTGATAATAGTATGATAGAAACACAGTGTAAAGGAAGATCAAAGCTAGAGATGGGGTTAGGAAAGCTTTCCTGCAGAACATGCCACATAAACTGAGACCTGAATATCAATTAGGAGACA